ATGCTAGCATACCGATAGGATCCCGCACCACCCTCCGGTCACCTTCCCTGGTTTTTGCTGGCGAATCAGTTGACCGTAAAAATACCTCGAAGAAATCTAACCCCAGTCGTTTTTGTCTTCTGATTGGTGCAGTAGGCTTCCACATTGCGCTAAAACGGCGACGTGTATACAACCCCTCTGGAAACGTCAGGAGTAGGACACAGTGAGAGGCGTGACCCCCCTTCGTACTACTTGTCGCCGTACGCTTAATTCCAGGGAGACCGGGACGAAGTTTTCGATTGGAGGTAGTGTTAGTCAGGGCGAGGACAATGGGAATAGGCGGTCCTCCTAGAATCTAACGCAAGGCCAAATGCATTACGGGCATGCCTATCCCCGCGTCATATCCTTCAACAAAATTTGAGCCTAATGTATCCGAGTCAGAACCACTTGGAAAATTTCACTGTTCCTCCAGTTTAGTATCATGTCAGCTCACTGGAAAAAACCTCCAGACACTTTCAGACGTAAGTACGCGCGGGCATGAAAATTTAAATCTAAAATGCACTTTATATTTTGAAGTATGAACTATCCCCCGTTTCTTTTGCTGAATCCAAGCGCACATTCCATGTGTTCAGAGGAAATTTACGTTAAAACCACGTAAACCATATCAGGACGATCAGTGAAGAGAGGAACCAGGGACCAAGTCTGTTCAAATGTAACTCTTATGTCTGTTTCTGCGTCACTCTGATTACGTGTGCGTGGCAGCGCTAGACTGAGGGTTTCTGTCATGTCAGCCTCTAGGCTAGACACTCCGTCGACTTGACTCGGACCTACAACCGGTGCGATGAGAGGCACTGAAACCGATCCAGTGGCAGGCTTTAAACTGAACAGCAAAAGGTGTTTTGCACTCAAATGACGCATAAGTAGATGTAAGCGCGAAGGTTGCCAGTTGACAGGGCAGCCGCCGCCGCCTCCTCCTCCTCCTCCTCCGAACCGAGTAGCTCCATAAGACGACTTTAATTGTAAATCTCCCTCGTGCGAAATGTGAAGCATCACTATACAGTGCGTGACCTATCTCATGAAATGTTGGCTGAAATTCTGAAATGCGTTTTCGATTAGGAAGGATTACTTGGTCGCGGTTGTGATACTGATTATCTTAAGGCATACTCTTATAACATTTTAGACTCGGCAGGATGTCGGCTTCTAAATGCATTTCTTTTCAATCTCCTGTAGAAAGCGTGCTCGGTAAAAAATGACTACTTAAGTAGCATGCATTTTTTTCCCATGGATTTTCGATGGTCATGCAAATTCAAATATATTTTATAGAAACCACAAACAAAAATATGCTTTCTTTTAGTTAATCAATAGAGAATCATGTCTTCTTTATATTTTATACTTAAGAAATGAGTATAATTAGGTTTTAGAAAAGTTTTTTAATTGCCGAAAAATTTGGAGCCTGATCATTCGTTGCATTAGCGCTTAGTGATTACACTCTACAAGGTGCATGCGTTCCCCGTAAAGAAAATCCCATATTTTTCTATGTCATTAAAGAGATATAATACAGGGTCCATAAAATTTTGCAATGGATGCGGACCATGTTGTACATTTCATGAGGAGCAGTGGTAAACGGCCAGGTACGATGCTATGTGAATGGACATATCGCGGTCTTAAAAAGTCTCATGGTTAGAAAACTTTTTAAAACCTAATTATACTCATTTCTTAAGTATAAAATATAAAGAAGACGTGATTCTCTATTGATTGACTAAAAGAAAGCATATTTTTGTTTATGGTTTCTATAAAATATATTTGAATTTGCATGACCATCGAAAATCCATGGGAAAAAAATGCATGCTACTTAAGTAGTCATTTTTTACCGAGCACGCTTTCTACAGGAGATTGAAAAGAAATGCATTTAAAAGCCGACATCCTGCCGAGTCCGACATTTTATAAGATTATGCCGCAAGATAATCAGTATTACAACCGCGACCAAGTAATCCTTCCTAATCGAAAACGCATTTCAGAATTTCAGCCAACATTTCATGAGATAGGTCACGCACTGTAGGTACTGTTTCGCGTGAGTGAATCGGGGGGGGGGGGAAGGGGAGCAGGACGCGTGTAACACCCGCAAACTCGGATTCGAGCTCGCAGACCATTGCACTCACTGTTCTAAATATGTCCTGCTATTGGATGAGGGTGAGCATGGGACAAGGGAGGTTGCCGCCGCACACATACTACTTATTATAACAAAATTCAGTACTGCGTCCTCTTGTCAGTGGCAGTTCTCGTCAGGCTAACTGTCGCTGCTGTTTATTTGGCTGGCATCGACTTTAAATCACTCCAGAAGCTTAGGCCAAGTTAGTGTGCATTAATTGGGGCTTAGCGTAGACCGAGAAGGGGTATTTAGTAACGAGCTAACATGCTAATCCGGGAGCAGCATTGTTAAATTTACTAGGGTGGCGTTCGATCTGGCGGAGGTTAGAAAATGGCAGACAGTCATGAGTGTACCGGAAAAGACGTAAAGTATCAGTCTTTGGCGGTGGGTTCCCGCACATGCGTGCAGGTAGTCAGCCTTCCTGGACGTATAAGCGGATCATTTTTAGGAAAGCAACACATTTTCTGCCGATTACCTGGGCCAAATATGACCAGTTGTTGCTCGGCAAAGTCGACCTTCAAAACCTCAACGCTACAAATGCTGGGGACTATGCACTGTCCAACTAAACGGGGCGCTATTTCAGTCATACAAGTGGTCGTTCTCCCATGAAAAATGATATCGCCAGACACTGTTGGTTGCGCTGTTATTCAGAGGCGACTGGCTACGCATGTCTCTCCCTGGTTAACTAATGTAACCGCACAACAGTCGCTAGTCATCTTACGAATGGCACACTTTCCCCTCTCTTTTTGGGCGTTGAAAGTTCACTCGATAGGACCACGTCTCCAGGCCCGGTTAGCCTGGCTTTTTCATCGACAGCCTCCTTCTGGCTTGCGAATTTGATTTCAGACGTGCAAATGCAATCAGACATGCAAACCCTACAGTCTGTATGCCACTTGCAAACGCCCGACCCTGTACAAGCGCCCAATTCCGTGCGACAGTAATCATTAAGGAAAGTTTTATTATCGATCAAAGGCATATTCGTTACTTACTTTCGTTGTGGACCGCCACTTTTCTTGAAAATGAAGTTTGATGTTTGAATGAGTCTTGACATGTGACCCAAACGACCGTCTCCGTGAAAAGGAGCGCCCGAACATCCATTACTTCGGTAAATGTCTTCAAGAATAATCTTATTTTAAAGTTCTCAACAGACAGATAATTCAGAATCTGCCTCTATGGTCGATCGGGTCAAAACACGGAAAATCATGAAGCATTCAGCAACAGTTCGAGGCCGATCTGAAACTCAACGTGGTCCAAAAAGAACGAAAAGTGTAAATTAATTTAACGGAAGAAAAGTTCTCTCTATAAACACAAAATGGTAGAATAAAAGGAGAAGGCTCGTCGGAAAATGGAGGTATACTCGTGAATTTTCAAGTCGGTTACACCAACTCGACGAGCCTTTTCCTTCTATCATATCGTTTCGCAATGCATACTACCTCCATCATTCACAAAATGGTATGTTTACGATCACGCCTGTCAGTTCTTTTTTCGTTTTCTTTTTCTTTTTTCTTTTTCCTTCATATATAATCATGTCCACCTGTCTGTCCAAAACCTGTTAATCTCTATGGTAATCACTGTGTACTGGAGAACCGTTTTTGCTGAAAGTTTTGAAAGTTATTTTCAAAATAAAGCAGTCCTCTCTCTCTCTCTCAGTTCTGTTTAAATTTATTAGGCACCGACCGACCTCATGGCATGTCACCCTATGAAAACTTCCGTTCCCACGAGTCCCCATCGGTGATATCGAGCAAAATCCAGCTTCTCTTGTTGAACCCCATCTCATTTAACTGAAAAGAGTCATGGATAACACGAAACCCTGGAAAACTGTTTTGGAATCTACACTCAGAATGTAGGCAGTTGACACACCGTCATACATGTAATCACACTAATTACTAAACGATATTTAGATGTAAACTGCATGAAAACACTATAAGTCGAAGTTATTTTATTTCTACTTTCATAGTTACTTGTTTTTGGTACGAGAATACATTGTATACATCTAAAACGGAGTTTTCTAAATTAGAGCCCTTTCTGACGTTTTTGGGATATTGCGCTTTTCAGAATAAGTCGGCATTGCTAAACAACGCAACACTGCCTTCAATATTTCTTTTATGTTTCTAATTCTTTTAAAATCGTGTCGGTTTGCGAATGTTTGACAATCATTCGTAAATTTCGACACATTTTATGATTAAGGTCACTAACTGTATATAACTAACCCAGCCAAGTGGGTGCACACGATCACCAAACCTTAAGACCACTGTACTTGGGACCGCTTGCATCGATCCCAGCCACGTACACAACCCCTCTTCGTCTTCATTGTCCGGTCATAAAGCTGTTCAGTTTTTACTACGCTCTCCTGGTCTCTGATGATGGACTCCTCCGCAAGTCCGGCCGCATTTTCAGTAATCGCACGTTCTCCTTTTAACAAAAGGAGTCCGCAGCCCACATATTTGATTCTGTCCCCGACCAAACCATTCCAAGCTGAATTTCGAGGGCTACGCACAGCCTCAAAATCAGTCTAGAACCGTCCCGTGGCACATTAAAATTCAGCTGAGAAAAAGCGCTGAGATCAAATAACCTCTCTCTCACCTGTGGCCATGCTACCGGCGCGTGGTTTTTGTGTAAGTCCGACGGAAGTGCCAGCGCACTTCCGTCCATGCCCCTCCCCCCCCCCCCGGAAGAACGAAAACAGGTTACACCTGTATCCAGTACGTCGCCATGCTTAGTCGGGGTTGTGGTCTCTAGGGCAGTCGCTCAGGCTTTTTGTGCATGGACCTAACTTCAAATATGAATCCTTCCGGAACTCATTGCTAGCTCGCAAAAAAGCTGATTCGGTAAATAATACTTAACCGAAAGGTAGTTCAAAGGACCCAGCTCATTAATCATCCCCGCCGACGAAACTCGGCATCTTTGGTGGCTCAGGGGGCATAATGTTTTGGAAAAAGCGAAAGGGGGAGGTCGAAGTGGAGAGGCAGAGGACAGCCTTGGTAGACAAAGTCCCTTGTGTCGGCAATAACAGAGTGCTAGAGATCAGAGGAGGTGAAATGTGGATGTACGCAATGGCCAAAAAATTGGGTGCCGGGTGTTTTGGGTGGGGTGAATAACCATCCCATTTCCATGAGAACTCCGTCAGGAGCCTATTAAACGGCGTCAAAACACACCACTAGGGAAAAGAGAATTGTCATGCAGAAATAAAAAAACGTTAATTAATTTTCATTGCAGTGGGTACCCACTCGACTGCGCCTCGACGTATGAAAAACCACTTTCCATGTAAAAAATGCATCTGAGCAAGTGGAAATGCAGCTGAGAGGAAGCACCAGATACGGGTAGTGCACAATACGCAGCTCCACCGCTTAACCTGCGTATACACTCCAAGGTCGGGATTAGCCATTTAGACAGAAAGGATATCAGAAGATGAAGATACGATCACTGGAACAAGAAATTTATTTGCATGATGTTTCGGATTCTCACTCGAAGCCATCATCAGAGACATTCGCAGATACAGGTGATGGTGGCACCAGGAGTGCAGTATTTATAGCACGTGGCTGCCGTGGGACCGCACGCGCACTGCAATTAACAGTTCTCGCAATCACTGCTGGGGTCGTAATTGATGCGGTGGTGGCTTGTCAGTCCGAGTCCGAGTCGTTAATTGCCGCGATTTCGTCATCCGTGCTGGATGCTGGTGTGACGATTGCTCGGCAAACTGACTCACTGTCACCGTGATGATTGCTCGCCCGCGCCCTCCCCACGTGACTGCTTCTCCTGTCCAGGGAAAATCGCAGCACGGAATAGGGTCCCGGGAGGTCATTGTGCTTGTTGATGGATTGCGGGCCTGAGAACCATGACTCGAGCAGCTCGCGGCTCACACGGTTGTCAGCCGCTGCGAGGATTTCGGCCTCTTGAAATTTGAAAATATGGCCGGGTCCCGTCGAGTGTGCCGCCACTTGAGAGTTAGCGTCTCCCCGCCTCACTGCTGCTGCGTGCTCGGCAATTCGCGTACGGAGTAATCTCCTAGTTTCCCCGACATAACTGCTTTGTCCGCAACTACACCAGATCCGGTAAACGACTCCAGACTTTTCCCGCCGTGTCAGCGGGCCTTTTGGCCTCATAACTTGGCGCCTAATGGTTGCTTCCGATCTGTGTGCAACCCCAAATCCAAGTGGAGTGAGAAGACGACTGACGCCTTCGGAGACGTTCTTCACGTACGGAAGAGCCCGCCAAAATTTGGGGCCGGGTGGATTTGGTCTCTGGTGTCCTTTTCGTATGCACTGGTTGACAAAGTTGCGCGGGTAACCGTTGGCTCTCATTACTCGTTGAAGATATTGTAATTTAGCAACCTTGTCTTCTATTTCACTGCAGTGCGTCTCAACGCGCCGGTATAGCGCCCTTAAGCAACTGCGTTTGTGACTGATCGGGTGGATGCTATTGAAATTCAGTATTTGCGTCGTATTTGTCGCTTTCCTGAACACTTTGGTTTTTAAGCCACCACAATCTTTGCCGCAGACGAGGACATACAGGAAGGCCAGCTGGTTGTTTTCCTCCTCCTCCTCCTCCTCCTCCATCGTAAATTGAATGTCCAGGAAGACGGCGTTGAAATGTTCTTTGAATATCAGCACCTGATCCCGTTCGATGAAGACGAAGGTATCATCCACATACCGAGTCCAGAATTTCGGTCTGTGGTGTCGAAAAAGCAGCGACTCCAGCCGTTGTAGGACCGCCTTGGCTATGAGTCCCGAAATCGGCGAACCCATTGGCGTTCGCTTCACCTGCTCGTAGATTGTTCCGTCGAACGTAAAGTACGTCTTGAGACAGAACTTCAGGAGCCGGATGATTTGGGCGTGTCCGAGGCGATTCTGTGTTTCGTCGTTCGATGTTCTCGACTGCCAGGTCCTGCGGGATAGAAGTAAAAAGGGACGTAACATCAAAGGAAACCATGATATCGCTTGGTAGGAGACTTACTCCTTACGTTTCTCCAAGAATTGCGTTGACGGGCTGACTGTGGTGTTCGAATCGGAGGTCAGAACCTTGAGATGTTGGAACAGCCACGTTGCCAGTCCGTAGATTGGACACAAGGTGTGCCGAGCCGGTCAGTTGACTGGAGCGGGGAATGGGCGCGGTGGCTGACATAGTCTGGTGACCTTGTCTGCTCGCGCCCCATGAGCGACCTGGTTCCGGGATTTCACACTACGGGGGTTCAGTGGCGTACAGTAGATGACCTAACGCATGAAATGTCGAGACCGGTATTTGAGTTGAGGAGACGGTATATATTTGGTGCGGTTATTTTTGTTTTTATAATTCATTAGAATCCCAAAAAACCCATTTTAAAGAACAAGTCATGTTATTTCAGTTTTATTTAGGGGAAACGGACCAAAATTAGGCAAACTTGGACATCTCCGGATATCCACTTAATTTCCTATTCGAATAAGTGTCCCCTATTAAAACCCCGCATTTGCACGCGTTGCGTTATAGACTGTCATATAACAAAGAAAACTACCTAAGGACGCCACTCTGGGAACGGAAATTGTGATTTTTAGTTCATGAAAATCAGGTCAAGTTGCAGGATAATGCCCCTGTCCACCGCTCAAAGGAGGTATGATTCTAATTCTGCTTACGACTATAATCTTATATTTTAGACCACAGCCAGCCTCTCTGTCTGCGGCCTTCGAAGCATTTTTATCCCCACCAACAGCCCGGACCTAAATCCCATCGAAATTTTTTTGCACTAATCAAAAGAAATTGGGACAAGGCAAGGAAACCTATTATTATGGGACAGAAGGCGACATACGTAGACCAAACCACCAAAGCCAACTTGGTAGTTTCCATGCCCTCCCGCCTTACAGCAAATTTAAAAGCTAAAGGACAATAAAAAAAGTACTAACACGTTGTATTTGTTACTGTTTTTCATTTTTTGTCGTTTTGTGAATTTCCTTTCTCTGCTGACAGTCGTATTAGACCCTGAATAGTTAACGTGTCATTCAGTCGATGTTTTGATTTGGTGGTTCCTCCTACAATAAGTTTTTTCTTAGTCAATAAATAATACTTTATAAACCAAACTATGCCTTACTTTGAAGCTCGGTCGTATATTTAACGCACCATAACATTCGTGGATGCGGGGTGGCAGTATCGTGCGATACAGCGATTTAAGTGCACAGTTCGTGACATTTCATCAGATAGGGCACGAACTGTACCTCTCAAATGCGTGAGAATGCCGTGAAGGGAGCTACTTTAGCTCGGCTCTAAGCCCACCATTCCACTACTCCGCACAAACGCATACACAACTGGACGGACTGCGTGGACCGAGTTAGGGCGTCAGTCAGCAGCCTTCCGATCCGCCACGCTTGAGGCGCCGGGATAGTCTCAGGCTCGAGTCACCCATGCAGCAGAAGCCTCACAGAGACCGAATCGAGACTCACACTCTCCACTTGCCTGGGAGGTGGCAGGTGGGTGCATGCGGTGGGTGATGTTGATGTGTGGTGAGATGGTGGTGTGGTGCAGCCGACGTTTGTCTACCGCAGGTTTTCATGAATGCGAATGTGGCCGAATAGGCCCATGCAGTGCATGAATGTGCGAGGGCAGTGTGGACAGTGGAGGCGTATGCGGCGACTCTAGGTGGGTGCGTCAGGCACTGGTTCGTCGGCCTCTGTGCGATTGATTCACAAGTGACCGACCAGACCAATGCGGGAGGTGAATGTGCCTGGACGGTGTGGACACGAGAAGTCGGTGGTGTCGGTGTCAATTATGGAGATGGCAGTGGTGGTGGTGGTGGTGGTGGTGATGGTGGTGGTGGTGGTGGTGGTGGGCGCACAGGGCGACGAAGTGAGGGAGGTGCTGAGATTGGTGGGCGTGCTGGGTGCTTCGGGACTGCGGTCAGTTCCGCTCTCGTAGATACGCATGTGGCCGAATGGGCCCATGCAATGCCTGAATGCGCGAGGGCAGTGTGGAAAGTAGAGGTGGATGAGGCGGGTGAAGGTTGGCGCTCCAGTCACTGATTCGCCAGTTTCTGTGCGGTGGATTCACAAGTGACGGACCAGGCCGATGGGTGAGGTGAATATGCGGTCGCAGTGAGAACAGGTGTAGTCTAGGTCCACACTTCTGTTGTCGGAAGTTGTAGTGTTAGTGTTAGTGGGTGTGTCAGCATTGTGTGTGACTTCTAAACTAACAGGTCGCGAGTTCGAGGCTCGGGTGTTCCACACTTCGGGCTTGGGTATGGCTGGCTGACGACGGCTAATAAGCCAGAAATGGCCATTCCAGTCTCCCTTGTCTTTGTCGGTAATACTATTCTGCCTATATATCATGCGCCGCTGTGCGGCTGCTGGTTGGGCTCGAGAGAGAGTCCATAAGGCACAACGGAACGAGTGAGTTCCGTATGAACGATCGGTGAGCGCCCCCTAACATTGTATATTCCCGATCGAAAACCGACAAGGCAACGGGCTCGTGGCCCGGTGAGTAGAGGCGTTGACTTCTAAACCAACAGGTCGCGAGTTCGAGGCTCGGGTGTTCCACACTTCGGGCTTGGGTATGGCTGGCTGACGACGGCTAATAAGCCAGAAATGGCCATTCCAGTTTCCCTTGTCTTTGTCGGTAATACCATTCTGCCTATATATCATGCGCCGCTGTGCGGCTGCTGGTTGGGCTCGAGAGAGAGTCCTTAAGGCACAACGGAACGAGTGAGTTCCGTATGAACGATCGGTGAGCGACCCCTAACATTGTGTGTGGTATTGATGTGCATGACATACGCCACAGCGGCAGACGATGGGGCGGTGGAGGAGGAGGAGAAGAAGAAGAAGAAGAAGAAAAAGAAGAAGAAGAAGAAAAAGAAGAAGAAGGAATAAGAAGGGGAGGTGAAGATGGAAGTGGTGGTTCAGGAACGCGGCGTAGAGGACGAGGAAGAGGCGGACGGATGAACGACGGTTGGTGCGGTCCGGGTGGTGCAGCTGATTCGGAAGTGTCCAACAAGTCCATTTGGAGCCCCGTGTGTCCGCTGACACTGTTGACACGTTGGCGGTTGTAAATTACCATTGCGGCGTGGGCGCAGCTGAGACTTCCGTACTTCGCGTTTGGCTTTCGCGGTGGCGATGCGATTGGCTTTGTTGATCGCAGCGCCTGTTTTCACTGTCTTCCTTCAGGTCCGTCTTTCTCGGGCGAGGTCTTCGCAGTTAGCCGCATTGACTTGCAGACGCTTCAGGGAGGACTTCAGAGTATCCTTGTATCGACTGAATCGGCCTCCTTGGCCGCGGCAACCCGTGGCGACATCTCTATAGAAGAGTCGTTTTAGTAGCCGCTCGTCGTCCATCCGCACGAGATGGTCGCCCAACGCAGTTGCAGCTGTCTCCGCATGGCGTAGATGCTGAGGATTCCCGTCAGTTGCAGTACGTCAGTGTCCGAGATTCGGTCCTGGCACCTCAGTTTCAGTATCGGTTGGAGACACACACAAAAACGACAGTTCGACCGTCGATTTCGACGATGTCCATCGTCTTATTCAAAAAGTTGAAACAGGATGGTGACTTGTGCGCTAATTAGTTTATAGTGATGGTAAACTTTCACAGTATCTACCGCACTCCCTCCTCCTCCTCCTCCTCCTCCTCCTCCTCCTCCTCCCCCACTTGGACCCGGTGTCAAGACAGAGTCAATGCAAGCGGAGGCGGGGGAGGGCACGGTCGAGCCCGCACCTTGCCGCTCCACTCCACAACCCCTGGTCCACACAGCAAAGGACCAACAACAATAACAACAATGGACGCGACAGGGGTTCCAGTGTGCACGACGTCTGCCGGAAACCGGGTCTGTCACCGCACCCCGAAATGCTGACATTTGTTATGGTACGCAAATCCGATAACGCCTGCCAGAATCCGATATGGCCCCTGCGTTGGTCCAGCACATCTACCACGTGGCTCTTTTTGGGGGCACACACACAGATTCACATACCGGACACTGAACACTGGACACGGGACACTCATTTGTATGCGAAAGAATCACAAATGTGATGTCTGCCCAACAAGAGCACACTAAGAAGTCCTGAAGACAATGCAGTTAGAGTAGTTGTGCACTGACAGGCATATCGATTCGGATGTTACATAGAAAAGTCACAGAAACAGCCAGAGACTAACGTGGGCAGTGCAAATCGGCTGAGGGGACTGAACCGACCCGGGGCGATGAAACCTTATCCAAAGACGAGGGTTTTGGAGTGGCAGGATTGAAATGTCAAATATTATTATATGCTGCTCATACATATGTGCGAGTGCGGGTTCCGGGACGGGCTTCGAAAATTTACATTATAGAAGTTTTTTGACCTCAGAAAACTTGAATCTAAATAAATCCTTTCCTTGACTTTAGAATACGAAGACGTAATTTTCTACTAACCACGTACAAGCAGGAATGTTTTTTACACGGTTCCTGCAAAATATATTTGAATATAGATGAGATGGTACCGACCATGACAAGGGAGACCGAAATGGTCATTTCTGGCTTTTTAGCCGTTATCAGCCAGTCACACGCAACCCCCAGTGTGGATCCCTTGAGATTCAAACCCGGGATCTTTGGTCATTGATTTCGATACTCTACCACTGCATCTAACAAAAAAATAATGCTGCCTAAATGGCAAATTTTCACTGCATGTGGTTTTTGAGGGCGGCCAGAAAGAAGCTAATTTAAAAACCATAATATTGTTTTGACTGAAATATCCTAGGAGCATGATGCATAAAAAACAATATTACTATTCCATCTCAGTAATCCTTCCTAATCGAAAACATATTTCAGAGTTCCGATTAACATTCCATGGAAAAAACCAGCCACTGCAGGTATCAAAAACTTTTGGTAACCACTGGCTGCGAATATAGTATCGTGGTATTTGTCTCCTTCCTTTTTTACATTTGCGTTGCTGTGTCTCAATCCGGCGGAAGAAAATTCTGTCACAACTGCGTTTTTGACCGGCTGTCTGATTGCTTTGGGGTTGGAGAATATGCCTAATGCTAATAACCTCGCAATCGACCATTGTCCTTACGTAAAACTTTCTTCGGAAATAAATACGCTAACTTGCGGAGCATTAGAGCTTAAGTCCGTCATCTTCAACGGAATTATCTCTTACTATTTACAAGCCGTTAACAGACATTTATTACTGTACAAAGACTGAACGATTCCTCGAGCTGGCAACAGGGGTAGTAGGTGACAGTTCGACCGTCGATTCCGACGATGTCCATCGTGCGCTACACCCCAAGCCACGGGGCTTACGCGTGGATTGGTTTATAATGATATTAGACTTGCGCAGCATCTGCCGCACTCTCCCTTCCCCACTCCCCCACCTGGACCCGGTGTCAAGATAGAGTCATGAAAACCGGAGGTGGAGGAGGGCTCAGGCGGCTGGCACGACGAGACCGGCACCTAGGCATGCCACCACACTCCCTGGTCTACAACATACGCTTGGCCAGGATTTTGACCAACAACAAGCCTCCAACGGTGGTCATAAGGACGAGGATGGTGACTGGACAGCCATGCCCACCGCCTGTACACCCAGCGGGAGCGCAAGCGCATCTACTGGCAGTGAACCAGGTGTCAGAGAACTGCCAGCGCATACCAGGCTGTGAGGACCATGGTTTGCTGATACTGGCATAGCATAGGCCTCCAGACCTTTCAACGGGGTAGTTGCTAAGTGACTGAACACGAACATCACCGATTTTATGCCGCTGCATGAGGCACCTGCATCGCGATTCTCTCGCCGTTTGCCATCTTTGCAGCGTGTGCAGGAAGGAAAGGCAACTGACTTTTGACTCCTTCTTTCACGACAGACTGGATGCTGGGAATGATTGGTTCCGACATTGCCTTGGAGGGCTGCACGTCGCGTGTCTTCGGGATGCTGGAGATGAAAACCAGTCTCCAAAGAAGTGCTTCACCAATCACTTCAGGTCCCGGCGACCCCGTACTCATTCCCTTCGTTTGCTCGTCTGCAGAGTCTCCGACGCGAATCAGACCTCTAGAGGGTGGGTTATAGGAGGCTAGAGAATCTTTAAATCTGGTCTTTTTTTCCACCCCTTCCCCCTCTACATGCAACCTCACTATTGACGACCTATACCGAAAAATATGATGACGACCAGCTCTAGTGAGTGCGCCGCCTTGAGCTCCTTAAGCCGGGCCTGAAGACTTCTTTCATGTTTGACGACCATCTTTACGAAAACCGAGGAACTTGGGTTCGGTGAAGTGCTTCGGAGTCATCGGAAAGATTCCATCTATGATCAATCTGCACGTGAGCGCCCGTTTTCTTCTGACCGCAAACAGAATAAATTCGGATGGGAATGACTTATGTGACCCCTAAAACAGGACATAAGAATAGTTACGCTCTGTCCAAGTAATGAAGGTGGGCCTACACACAAGTCTAGAAGGGGCAAAATATTTCCGTGTCCTGACCCCAACAACAACCCTAGTATAAAACTAAACTGTTGGCCTCATCTTGACCCTAAAGCTACCCTAAACCTTAGTTCTGCGGTTAGCGCTAGCCCTCACCTTAATCCTAAACTTGATCCTGACTTACCTTACCGCTAACTATAGATCTAGCCTTAACCATAATCCTTAACCTAAACCAAACTTAGCCGGAAGGTGGCTAAACACCACCCGTATTGCAGGCGTTTCCTGTGCTCATGTCCTATTTATGGGGACATATAAGTCAGTTCTACTCGAACCTGAAACATTTCTGCATGAATTTACCCACAGTTTCCGTGGGCACACCCTCCGCCATCATAAACTGACCGAGTTGGGCCAAGCTGGTGGTTGCCTGCTCGTAACCACTGTCACCGCTGGCAAGTTGTTTGCCTTGGGGAGACTAGTTGATCGGTGTGCGCCTGTTGTTGTATGAATATATATTCCCTGTGAGATTACAAGATGAATTTCAGTTTGGGCGGTATGTTGG